GGAGAAGTACAATGAGGCAAGCCTCGCCCATAGACAGGCTCCCACCTGGTTCCTCCAGCTGGAGCTGGAAGCCAGAGGGGTGAGGAGTTTCACTGTCCCAGCCTGAGCAAAGGACAATTCCGAGCTCGGGGGCACAGGAGTGTGCTCAGCAGGACTGGGTGGGATGGTGGCCTTGCTGGGAAGGGAAGAGCACGGCCTTCCAGGAGCAGGTGCCTGGGAGGCTTCCAGACAGGCTTGTTTGGGAGGTGGCCATAGGAGATGTCTGTTTTCCGGGGCAGGAATTGGAGGGGGCGCCCAGGCTGGAGAGATTGAGCCAGGCTGTCACAAGGCTTTGAAACTTCCCATATGAAAGCCTGGCTGTTGGAGCGGGGTTTGGAACTCTGAGGCTAGGGCGTTCTGTTCAGTCCGGTGCCAGCCACAGTCTTCGGATGGGCAGAGCAAATGATCGTGGTGAGGTGTGTAAAAGAAAAGTACTGAGGAAAGAGAAGAGGAAAACTGGCTTTAACAACAGTCTAGGCTGGGTGCGGTGGCTCACACCTGTAATCCCAGCACTTTGGGAGGCCGAGGTGGGTGGATCACCTGAGCTCAGGAGTTTGACACCAGCCTGGTCAACAGATGGTGAAACCCTGTCTCTACTAAAAATACAAAAATTAGCCGTGCGTGGTGATGGATGCCTGGAATCCCAGCCACTTTAGGGGCTGAGGCAGGAGAATCGCCTCAGGCTTGCCGGGCAGAGGTTGCAGTGAAAGTTGAGGCACACCACTGCACTCCAGCCTGGCTACAGAGTGAGACTCCGTCTCAAAAAAACAACATAATCTGTACTGTGGAGGCCCTGGCAGGAAGCAAGAACTCTGAGCACGGACTGTTCTCTGTTGGGAGCTTTCTTCCTTCATCCTCCTGGTTAACTGACTGCATAAAGGTCATTTCTTCCAAGATCCTGTCCCTGACTTCCAACTATGATATGTTTCTATTGTCCGAGAGCCCAATCTCTGCCACCAATCAGTCAGCCTCTATCCGTCACCACTTTCCACTTCTCCTGTCCCATCCCAACCCACCCTGGGTCTCACTCTGTCACCCAGGCTGGAGTGCAGTGGTGCAATCACAGCTCGTTGCCACCTCCACCTCCTGGGCATAAGCGATCCTCCCCACTCAGCCTCCCAAATAGCTGGGACCACAGACGTGCACTGCCATGCCAGGCTAACTTTTAATTTTTTTTTTTCCCCGATTCAGAGTCTTGCTCTGTCGCCCAGGCTGGAGAGCAGTGGTGTGATCTTGGCTCACTGCAACCTCTGTCTCCTGGGTTCCAGCAATTCTCCTGCCTCATCCTCCTGAGTAGCTGGGATTACAGGCACACACCACCATGCCCGGCTAGTTTTTTTCTTCATTTTTCGTTGAGATGGGGTTTCAGTATGTTGGCCAGGCTGGTCTCGAACTCTTGACCTCATGATCCACCCGCTTCTGCCTCCCAAAGTGCTCACAGGCTCTGTGCTTTTTTGTTTGTTTGTTTGTTTTGAAACAAGGTCTTGCTCTGTGGCCCAGGCTGGAGTGCAGTGGTGCAGTCTTGGCTTACTGCAGCCTCTACCTCCCAGGTTCAAGTGATTCTTGTACATTGGACTCCGGAGTAGCTAGAGTTACAGATGTGTGCTACCATACTCAGCTAATTTTTGTATTTTTAGTAGAGATGGGGTTTCGTCATGTTGGACAGGCTGTTCTTGAACTCCTGATCTCAGTGATCTGCCCACCTCAGCCTCCCAAAGTGCTGGTGTGAGCCATCGTGCCTGGTCCCAGTTGTGTTCTTGCGGGGGAGATGGGACAGAGAGGATGAGAGGGTGTCTGAGCCTTTCCCGCACTGATGGAGCCTGTGTCATCTGCCTTTTGTGGACAGGATAGTGATCTCTCACACCAAAGCCTCAGACCCCTCCCACCCTGTGACCTTTGTGACCAGCTCCACCTATGCAGCAGACGAGGGGGTGAGCCTGCGGGTCCCCACCCATTTCTCCCCGCCTTTGCCTGGGCTTGTCCTGAAGCCTGCTCATGGGAACAGCTAGAAAGAACCATGCACTGCCAGTCTGAGTTTATTTTGTTTTTTTTACTTAGAAAGATACAGACTGGGTGTTGTCATGTTGCCCAGACTGGTCTCGAACTCCTGGGCTCAAGGGATCCTCCTGCCTCGGCCTCCCAAAATGCTGGGCTTACAGGCATGCACCACCACATCTGGCCGCAGCTAGTCTGTTTTCAGAGATGGTCTTTGGGTTAATGACAATTCTCTCTCTCTGCTTAGTTGCCAGGCAGTGTGGCTTTCTGAATCCAAGGAGGCTGGGCTGAGGGAGATGGGATTTATTTGCTCAGTTTGGACTCAGCATTTGTTGCACTCGATTTAATAGACTCATAAAATGTCAAAGGTTTACGGGAGCTTAGAGTTCATCTGGCCCAAACCTGGCTGATCAGAATCTCCAGGGGAAGTTTTTATGAAATGCCAGATTTCTGCGTTCTGAGATCCTGATTTAGTAACTCCAGGGTTGGAATCTGAGTTTTTCTTTTTTTCCTTTTTTTTTTTATAGAGGCAAGGTCTTGCTCTGTTGCCCTGGCTGGGGTACAGTGGTGCGATCACAGCTCACTGCAGCCTTGAATTCCTGGGCAGAAGCGATCCTTCTGCCTCAGCCTTCCAAGTAGTTGGGACTCCAAGTGTGCACAACTGCACCCGGCTAATTTTAAATTTTTTTGTAGAGATGGGATCTCGCTATGTTGCTCAGGCCGATCTCAAACTCTTGAGCTCAAGCGATCCTCCTGCCTTGTCCTCCCAAAGTGCTGGGATTACAGGCATGAACCACTGTGCCTGGCTGACACTAGCTTTTTTTTTTTTTTTTTTTTGAGATAGAGTCTTGCTCTGTTGCCCAGGCTGGAGTGCAATGGCCCAATCTCGGCTCACTTCAACCTCCACCTCATGGGTTCATGCAATTCTCCTGCCTCAGCCTCCCAATTAGCTGGGATTACAGGCGCTCACCACTACACCTGGCTAATTTTTGTCATTTTTAGTAGAGACAGGGTTTTGCCATGTTGGCCAGGCTGGTCGCAAACATCTGACTTCAGGTGATTTGCCCACATCAGCCTCCCAAAGTGCTGGGATTAGAAGCATGAGCCACCATGTCCGGCCAGCATTCTTACTAGAAAGAAGTGTGTTCAGGAGGCATTAGAAACTAGCCAGTTGGACACAGAAGCCTTTGCTGCTCAGGTCTCAGCACCGCTTTGCTGAAGTTTGGGGTGGTCCTATGCAGTCATCTCTGCCCTCCTCCTAGGAAGGACTCTTCCAGACCCTCTTCAGCCCACAGTGCTGCCTCGTGAAAGCTGCCTCAAGATTCTCTGTGACGGCTGGGCATGGTGGCTGACGCCTGTAATCCCAGCACTTTGGGAGGCCGAGGTGGGTGGGTCACAAGTCAAGAGTCCAAGTCCAGCCTGACCACCATGGTGAAACTTCATCTCTACTAAAAAAAAAAAAAAAAAAAAATTAGGTGAAACATGGTGAAACCTCATCTCTACTAAGAAAATACAAAAATTAGCTGGATGTGGTGGCATGTGCCTGTAATCCTAGCTTCTTAGGAAGCTGAAGCAGGAGAATTGCTTGAAGTGGGGAGGCGGAGCTTGCAGTGAGCCAAGATCATGCCATTGCACTCGAACCTGGGTGACAGGGCGAGACTCCATCTCAAAAAAATAAGAAAAATAAAAAAGTGAAATTAGTTGGTTATGGTTGTGTTTGCCTGTAGTCCCAGCTACTTGGGAGGCTGAGGTGGGAGGATTGTTTGAGTCCAGTAGGTCAAAGCTGCAGTCCTCCTTGATTGTACCACTGTACGCCCACCTGGGGGACAGAGTGAGACCTTGTTTCAAAAAAGAACCCTTGCAGTGATGGAAATGCCCCATATCTGCACTGTCTGCAATGGTAGCCACTAGCTACATGTGGCTATTGAGGTCTTGATATATGACTAGGATAACTTAATAAATGTATTTAGTTTAATTAAGTAAAATAACTAAATAAATTTATTTCGTTTAATTAAAAAAAATTTTTTTTTGAGACAGCCTCACTCTGTTGCCCAGGCTGGAGTGCAGTGGCGTAATCACAGCTCACTGCTCAACCTCCTGGGCTCAAATGATCCTCCCTCCTCAGCCCCCCAAGTAGCTGGAACCACAGGCATGCGCCACCACACCTGGCTAATATTTAGACTTTTTGTAGAGACTGGGTCTCACTGTGTTGTCTAGGCTGGTCTTGAACTCCTGGGCTCATCCTCCTGCTTCGACCTCCCAAAGTGCTGGGATTACAGACCTGAGCTGCCATGCCCAGCCTGGTTTAATTTCACTTTACATACATACACACATGCATTTATTTATTTATTTAAGATAGGGTCTCGCTCTGTCACCCAGGCTGGAGTGCAGTGAAATTCTTTCTTCTGAGGAGGCAAGAATTGAGATTGTTACAGATGTGTATGGATTCACCACCGGGAACTTGGATACCTTCCACTGGTAACAGGTCGAGGATGCTAGGTGAAAATCTATGGAAGCCGCATGCTTTTTACAAATGTGGTGGTTCTCATGTCCAGCCACAGCCATTGCACCTGTGTGAACGTCCCCTTGATAAACCTATGTCTTTTTTACTGTCTCCAGATCTCTTCCTCTACCCTTCCACACGGTGCCTTCCCTACTGCAGTAAAGTGGGGTCCCGCAGGGCACCCTTTCCCTGAAAAAAAAATTTTTTTTTGAGATAGTCTTGCTCTGTTGCCCAGGCTAGAGGGCATTGGTGTGACCTTGGCTCATTGCAACCTTTGCCTCCCAGATTCAAGCGATTCTCCAGCCTCAGTCTCCCGAGTAGCTGGGATTAAAGGCGTCTGATACCATGTCCGGGTCCTTTTTTTTTTTTTTTTTGTATTTTTAGTAGAGACGGGGGTTTCGCCATGTTGGCCAGGCTGGTCTCGAACTCCTGGCCTCAAGTGATCCACCCACCTCAGCGTCCCAAAGTGCTGGGATTACAGGCTTGAGCCACTGAACTTGGCCTCTCTCTCTGTGTCTTCATGTGTCTTCAACGCCAAGAGGGAGCCTCTGGCCCCTTAGGGTCGGGGTCCCAGAGGCCCATGGTCAAGGCTATGGCCGCCTCCCAAGGAGGTGCATCCCTGCAAGAGGCTGCATCCAACAGTCAAGGAAGAGGCTCCGATGGGGCCCGCTGGGGAAAGCAAGTGGAGGTGCCCCTTGAAGAAATGGGGATCCCATCAATCTCAGGGGTTCTGTCCTGGTCTGCCGCCCTGGATCATCCACCCTCTGCTGGGATGGGGAGCAGACGACGCCCTTCTTGGCTGGCGCTGAGGGTGGGGGAGTCACGCTTCCCCAAAGGCCTAGCGGGGGTTCCAGTCACAGGCCCCACTGGGCAGCGCCTGGCGCCGCCCCGCCTCTCCAGCTTTGGCACTCGCCCTCAACAAAGATGGCGCGGACGACCTCATGCGCGTCACGCGACCCTCCCGCATGACTCCTCCAGCGCCGCGCTTATCCCCGCACACCGCGGCCGAGAGGGGGAGCAGGAAGCATGGACTGGCGGGCGGCTGTGGCCCGGGAGGCTCTCGGGCCGCTGTTGTGTGGCTGCGCGCTGGCGCTGCCGGGCGGGATGCTGTACCCCCGGGAGAGCCCGTCGCAAGAGCGCCAGGAGCTGGACGGCCTCTGGAGCTTCCGCGGCGACTTCTCCGACAACCGACGCAGGGGCTTCGAGGAGCAGAGGTACCGGCGACCGTTGCGGGAGGCGCGGGCTCAGGGCAGGGCCGGGAGGCGCCCGGAAGCCCGGCGGTGGGAATGGGGTGAGCCCCGGCGCCCTGCAGTCTCCTTCACCTGAGCGCCCCGGAGGAGGTTAAAGGTCAACGGGGTTGGGGGCGAGGGGTTGGAGGACGGGGGAACTAAGGGGACCCGGGAGGGCCCGGGAGGAGGAGGAAGCGCTCCTGTTGAGCCCCGTCGAGGCGAAGGCTGAGCCTGGGCAGTGTCCTTTGTAATGAATGTTTACTTCTAATTTTTGAAACGTTTTTGAGAGTGGGTTTGGTCCTGCCGCCCAGGTTGGAGCGGAGTGACGCAAACCTAACTTCTGAGCTCAAGCGATACTCCCGCCCCAGCCTTGCAAGTTAGCTGGGGCCACCGTGCCTGGCTAATTAAAATAAAAACAAAAACAAAACTTGGTCTGGCTCGGTGGCTCACGCCTGTAATCTCAGCACTTTGGGAGGCCGAGGTGGGCCAATCGCCTGGGGCCAGGAGTTCACGACCAGCCTGGCCAACGTAGTGAAACCCCGTCTCACTAAAAATACAAAAATTAGCTGGGCGTGGTGGCGAACGCCTGTAATCCTAGCTAGTTGGGAGGCTGAGGCAGGAGAATTGCTTGAACCAGAGAGGCGGAGGGCCGAGATTAGGCCACTGCACTCTAGCCTGGGCGACAGAGTCAGACTCTGTCTCAAAACAAAAACACAGTTAAGTTTTTTGTTTTGTTTTGTTTTTTAAGATACTGGGTCTGACTACGTTAACCAGCCTGGTCTGGAACTCCTAGCCTGAAGCCATCCTCCCACGTTGACCTCCCACAGCGCTGATTACAGTCATGAGCCACCAGACACTCCTCAGGCCTGAGCGGCAGGCGCTGCCCAGAGCTGGGTCCGGGATTGGGAGGAGGGGACAGTTTGGACATTCTGAGGTCAGCTCTGCGCAGGTAGGAAGGTGCCTTGGTTTTCAAGGTTCAGATAGAGGACAGAATGTGACATCAGGCTGAGGACGCCACTACTGTTCCGCTCCTGACTTGGAAGTGGTCAGCAGAGAAGTGGGATCCAGTGAGGTCTGGTCCGCGTTTGTCTGGTCTACATCCTTTTTCTTTTTCTTTTTTTTTTTTTTTTTTGAGACGGAGTCTTGCTCTGTCACCCAGGCTGGAGTGCAATGGCACGATCTTGGCTCAGTGCAGCCTCCATCTCCTGGGTTCAAGCGATTCTCCTGCCTCAGCCTCCCGAGTAGCTGGGACTACAGATGCCCGCTGCCACACCCACTAATTTTTGTATTTTTAGTGGAGATGGGGTTTCACCATACTGGCCAGGCTGGTCTTGAACTCCTGTCCTTGTGATCTGCCTGCCTCCGCCTCTCAAAGTGCTGGGATTACAGGTGTGAACCACTGTGCCCAGCCTACATCCTGTGTTTCTGACTTTGTGGTATTCAGTACAAGAGAAAGAGAGGAGAGGGCTGGCTGCTAGCGTGGGCCTCACTCACAGTGTCCTAAGCAAAGCCCTCCCGTCCTCCTAACCAGCCTTCCTCCCTGTGACAGGCAGTGGGTCATTTGCATCTTAGTCACAGGTCTGAACCTTCTTGCCTCGGGCTGGGATGTGCCCCTGGGTTCACCCGTCTCGGGAGATGCTGGGTCCCATCCGCTCCAACGAGGATCTCCGGGCCCCACTGGCCCAGATGCACAGACCGTCCTGGCAGTGGACCTGTCATCAGCAAGTTATCTGTCTTTTCCGCCAGGAGTCCCCACCATGTGTCAGGGCTTGTGCTAGGCCTGGGGGCACAGCTGTGCAGCACACTGGTCCCGCATCCCTTTGGGGGCCTAGGAGCTGAGCCAGGCCCTTCTCTTCGCAGTCGGGCCCCACCTTGGACGTACCGGTTCCCTCCATCTTGATCGACATCAGCCAGGACTGGCGGCTATGGCATTTTGTCAGCTGGGTGTGGTATGAACGGGAGGTGACCCTGCTGGAGCGATGGATCCAGGACCTGTGCACAAGAGTGGTGCTGAGGATTGGCAGTGCCCACTTCTATGCCATCGTGGTCAGTGTGGCCAGGAGCAGGCAGGGCGGGTGGGTGGGCACAGCTGCTGAACAGCATGGGACCCTCGGATGCCACCCACAGCCTGTCTCCTGGGGTGGGACGGTGGGGGGCCTTACCCTGCCCTGGGGGCTGTGCCCTGTGTAGGGGGATAGGCGGCCTGATCTACCCCACTGGGATGTCATTCTTCCCGTCTGGCTGGCAGGCCCTTGAGCCCCATGCTGCAGGTTATGTGAGGTCGTGCCCGATAGCAGAGCCCCTCCTCATGCCCCGACCTGCCCCCGCCCCATGCATATCTCCTATGTCTGCAGTGGGTGAATGGGGTCAACACGCTAGAGCATGAAAGGGGCTACCTCCCCTTCGAGACCAACATCAGCAGCCTGTTCCCGGTGGGGCCCCTGCCCCGCCTCTGCGTCACTGTCGCCATCAACAGCACGCTCACCCCCCACCCTGCCACCAGGGACCATCCGTACATGACCAACACCTCCAAGTGGATACCATCCTGCCTCCACTGCAGACACCCACCTTCCCACCCCACCCTGTGGTCTTCCTGCCAGGGACAGGGTGGCCTACACAGAGAGAAGGCCCCGATCTGGGGAGGCAAGTGAACTGAGGGCAAAAGACCCATGGCAAGGGCCCAGCGAACCACAGTCCTCCCGCCCTAGGTATCCCAAGGGTTACTTTGTCCAGAACACAGACTTTGACTTCTTCAACTATGCGGGACTGCAGCGGTCTGTGCTTCTGTACACGACACCAACTACCTACATCGATGACATCACCATCACCACCCGTGTGGAGGAAGACAGTGGTGAGAGCTTCTGGTAGGATCCTCCCTCAGCGGGGCCCTGAGTGGCTCTGTTTGTTCCGTATTTGGAAAGGTCTCCCAGGAAAAAGGTTCTCCCAGCATCTCTAAACCTTCACAGGTTCCCAACCACCTATGAAGCTAAAATCCAGGCTGTCTGAGCGGGCACGGGCTCGAGATCACTCATGTGGCTGATCTCGCTTGGAGAAGAGGGGTCTGGTCTAACATCACATAGCTCAGGGTGGCAGTCCTGTCCCTTCCCCACGGTGCTACTCTCACTCTAGCTCCCCCTGCTACACATCGTACTCAAGGAACAGGCAGCTTCGGGAGGCCGGGTGCAGTGGCTCACGCCTGTCATCCCAGCTCTTTGTAAGGAGGACTTGGTAGGAGGATCACTTCAGGCCAAGAGTTCAAGACCAGCCTGGGCAACATAGCGAGACCATCAGCACAAAAAATTTTAAAATTCGCCAGGCACGGTGATGTATGCCGGTATTCCCAGCTACTGAGGCAGGAGAATCAGTTGAGCCTGGGAGGTCAAGGGTGCAGTTAGCTGTGACTGCGTCACTGCGCTCTGGTCTGGGCAACAGAGGGAGACCCTGTCTTTTTTATTTGTATTTGTTTTTGAGCTGGAGTCTCACTCTGTAGGAGCCCAGACTGGAGAACGCTAGTGCAATCTTGGGCTCGCTGCAACCTCTGCCTCCCAAGTTCAAGTGATTCTCCTGCCTCGGCTTCCCAAGTAGCTGGGATTACAGGCACCTTCCACCACATCCAGCTAATATTTTTATGTTTTTTAGTAGAGATGGGGTTTCACCATGTTGGCCTGGTTGGTCTTGAACTCCTGACCTCAGATGATCCACCCGCCTCGGCCTCCCAAAGTGCAAGGATTATCCCACTGTGCATGGCTGGGATACCCTTTGTTTAAGAAAAATTTAAAAAAAAATTTTTTTTTTTAATATATCTTTTTCCTTTTGTGAGAGGAGGTCTTGCACTGTCGCCCAGGCTGGATGGCAGTGGTGTGATGATTGACAGCTATTGTGGGGCCGCAGTTGTAAGTTTCAAAGAATTTAGGCTGGGTGTGGTGGCTAATGCCTGTCATCCCAGCACTTTGGAAGGCCACGGTGAGCGGATCACTTGAGCTCAGAAGTTCAAGACCAGCCTGGGCAACATAGTAAGACCCTGTTTCAAAAAGAATAAATAATTAAAATAAAGAAGAATTTAAATGAGAATCACACAGCAAAGATGATACAGCATACAGCAATTTATTGTAAAGGGAAAAGTATTTTGTAAGTTAAGTGAAGAATAGCCCAGGCACAGTGGCTCATGCCTGTAATCCCAGCATTTTAGGAGGCCGAGGCGGGTGGATCACTTGCGCTCAGTAGTTCAAACCAGCCTGGACAGCATTAGCTGGGTGTGGTGGCATGTGCCTGTAATCCCAGCTACTAGGGAGGCTGAGATGGGAGAACTGCTTGAACCCGGGAGGTGGAGGTTGCAGTGAGCTGAGATTGCAACACTCAATTATATAATCCCAGGTACTCCGGAGGCTGAGACAGCCTGGGTGACAGAGCGAGACCCCATCTCAAAAAACATAGTGAAGTGCAAAATACATGGTTCACCCTGAGAGAGAGAATTCAGGGCAGGCTGCTTGTAAGGATGAGAGAGTGCTGGTTATTGGTGGGGAAACTCCCTTTCTAGGAGTCTTCCATGATGAATTCCTAAGGAGCTGGGAAGAGGTGTTATTCTAAGCACTTTCTGGGTCATCCTCTGGGTGCTCAGTGCCGTGGTTGGCACGTCTGAAGGACACGGTTGCTTCCTTGACTACCTACTCTGCCTCAAGATCATAGCTCACTGCAGTCCCAGTCTCCTGGCTCAAGCAGTCCTCGCACTTCAGCCTCCCAAGTACCTGGGGCTGCTGGGATTGCAGGCAAGCACCACCATGCCCAGCTAATTTTTGTTATTTTTAGGGAAGATGTGGTTTCCCTATGTTACCCAGGCTGGTCTTGAACTCCTGGACTCAAGTGATCCTCCCACCTCAGCCTCCCCTGTGTTGGTGTGTTGGGATTACAGGTGTGACCACTGTGCCTGGCCAAAGAAAAGTTTTTTTTTTTTTTTTTTTGGAGACAAAATCTTGCTCTTGTCACCCAGGATGGAGTGGTGCAATGGCACGATCTTGGCTCACTGCAACCTCCACCTCTGAGGTGCAAGCTTTTCTCCTGCCTCAGCCTCCCAAGTAGCTGGGATTACAGGCATGTGCCACCACGCCCGGCTAATTTTTGTATTTTTAATAGAGATAGGGTTTCACCGTGATGACCAGGCTGGTCTGGAACTCCTGACCTCAGGTGATCCACCCCTCTCGGCCTCCCAAAGTACTGGGATTATAGGCGTGAGCTACCACACCCGGCCCAAAAAAAGTTTTTTTAAATAAAAAAAAACACGCCAGGCGCAGTGGCTCATGCCTGTAATCCCCGCACCTTGGGAGGCTGAGGTAGGTGGATCATGTAGGGTCAGGAGTTCGAGACCAGCCTGGCCAACATGGCAAAACCTGTCTCTACTAAAAATACAAAAATTCACCAGGCATGGTTGTGCATGTCTATAATCCCAGGTACTCAGGAGGCTGAGGCAGGAGAATCAACTGAACTCCAGAGGTAGAGGTTGCAGTGAGCCGAGATCACGGCACTACAGTCCAGCCTGGGTGTCAGAGCGAGACTCTGTCTCAAAAAAAAAAAAAAAAAAAAAAGCAACAGAAGCAAATGGCTGCCTGGGAGTGGCCGCTGTGGGGCATTCCCATTTGTGTGACCCAGATCGTGTCCCTCCCTAAGTCCTGGTCTCTCTTGCCTCCTCCAGGGCTGGTGAATTACCAGATCTCCATCAAGTGCAGTAACCAGTTCGAGTTGGAAGTGCGTCTTTTGGATGCAGAAAACATTTGGATGCAGAAGTCGTGGCCAATGGGGCTGGGACCCAGGGCCAGGTGAAGGTGCCGGGTGCCAGCCTCTGGTGGCCAGACCTGATGCACGAACACCCCGCCTACCTGTACTCGGGGGAGGTAATGGTGGTTCGGGACTTGTTTAAGGGAGGTCTTTTGCCCCCACTGGCAGCCCTGGCTTCAGCAGGAGCCCGGGACAGGTGAACGGGCAGGCGCGGTCCTCTGAGCTCTCTGATGTTTCCCACCTTTGGTGGGGGGCCCAAATGTTTTTTTTTGTTTTATTTTTTTGTTTTTGTTTTTTTGAGATGGTCTCTGTCACCTAGGTTGTAGTGCGCTGGCCTGATCACAGCTCACTGCAGCCTTGAGCTCCCAGGCAGCAGCAGTCCTCCTACTTTGGCCTCCTGAGTTGCTGGGACTATAGGCACATGTTACCATGCCTGGCTAATTAAAACAATTTTATCTGTAGACCGGGCATGGTGGCTCACATCTGTAATCCCAGCCCTTTGGGAGGCTGAAGCGGGCAGATCACTTGAGGCCAGGAGTTCAAGACCCGCCTGGCCAACACGGTGAAACACTGTCTCTACTAAAATATGCAAATTTGCTGGGCATCTGTAATCCCAGCTACTCGGGAGGCTGAGGCAGGAGAAGTGCTTGCACCTGGGAGGCAGAGGCTGCGGTGAGTTGAGATCACGCCACTGCACTTCATCCTGGGCGACAGAGTGAGATTGTCTCAGAACAAAATCTTTTTTATAGAGTTGGGGTCTCATTCTGTTGCCCAGGCTGGTCTTGAACTCCTGGTCTCAAGTGATCCTCCTGCCTTAGCCTCCCAAAGCGTGGGGATTCCAGGCATGAGCCACCTCGTCTGGTCAAGGAGAAGGCCCAATTTTGAAGGGCAGGTCCCAAGGTCAGCCAGGAAAGGGTAGAGCCTCTGATTGCTGCTTCTCTGCAGGCCCCGAGGCAGCTGCTGGGGTGCACTGGGGGTCTTCCTGCTGCAGGGCAGGCCAGGCCAGATGGGGCTCAGGCTGTCGGGGTGCTCACACCTGGCGCTTTGGCTGTCGTAGGTGTGGCTGACTGCACAGACATCACTGGGGCCTTTTTATGACTTCTACACACTCCCTGTGGCTATCCGCACCGTGGCTGTCACCGAGAGCCAGTTCCTCATCAGTGGGAAACCTTTCTATTTCCACAGCGTCAACAAGCATGAGGATGCAGGCGTGCATTGGGGCTCCTGGGTCCTCGTGGGGGCTGCTGCTGGTCACCTTCCATTTTCGCCTTCCCTGTGTCCCATAGCTGAGGGCAGCCCAGGGCAATGAGGCAAATGGCTCTATACCACCCCACTGTGGAGCTGGTGCTTGGGCTGGAGAGGGGGCTCATAGGGTGGCTCTCCAGAGTCCTGCCATTGGAGGAAGTGCAGTTTTGACAGGGACAGGGATCACTAGGCTCTGCTGTCCTCTAGATCCGAGGGAAGGACTTCGACCTGCTTCGCTGGCTTGGCACCAACACCTTCTGCACCAGCCACTATCCCTACGCAGAGATGCTGCAGATGTGTGACTGATATGGAATTGTGGTTATTGATGAGTGTCCCGCTGTGGGCCTGGTGCTGCCATGAGTCCCTGCTGTGCATCTGCTCCGCCTGGCCAGCCCATGGGCCACACCGTGCCTCCGTCCCTTCCCTCCTGGCCCCCGGCAGCTCTTCAACAACGTGTCTATGCATCACTACATGTGGGTGATGGAAGAACTGGTGCACAGAGACAAGAATCACCCTGCCGTGGTGATGTGGTCTGGCCAGGAGCCTACATCCTACCTAGAATCTGCCAGCTACTACATGAAGTGAGTGCCCCTGGCATGCTCTGGGCTGGATCAGGAAGGAGACCCTGGCAGGTGGCAGATGGGTGGACGTGTGCAGTCCGAGATCAGCGTCCCATCCCAATCCAATGGGAAGGCCGTCCATACCCGGACAGTTCAGGGAACCAGATATCTACTTACCCAAATTGTGGTTTTATTTTTCTGTTTTTGAGACGGAGTTTTGCTGTGTCGCCCAGGCTGGAGTGCAGTGGTGAGATCTTGGCTCACTACACCCTCGGCCTCCTGGGTTCAAGTGATTCTTCTGCCTCAGCCTCCTGAGTAGCTGGGATTACAGGCATGCATGAGTGTATGCACTTGGCCTGTTTTGTTTTTGAAACGGGGTTTCCCTCTGGTTGCCCAGGCTGGAGTACAGTGGCATGATCTTGGTTCACTGCAGCCTCGACTTCCCAGGCTCAGGTGACCTTTCTACCTCAGCCTCTCAAGTAGCTGGGATTATAGATGTGTGCTACCACCACACTCAGCTAACTTTTGCTTTTTTTTTTTTTTTTTTTAAAGGAAGTCTTGCTGTGTTCCCCAGGCTGGAGTGCAGTGGCGTGATCTCAGCTCACTGCAACCTTAACCTCCCAGGTTCAAGCGATTTTCCTGCCTCAGCCTCCCAAGTAGCTGGGATTACAGATGCACGCCACCACGCCTGGCTAATTTCTAGTAGAGGTGGGGTTTCACCATGTTGGCCAGGATGGTCCCCATCTCTTGACCTTGTGATGTGCCCACCTCGATCTTCCAAAGTGCTGGGATTACAGGTGTGAGCTACCGTGGCCGGCCAACTTGCATTTTTTTAAGTAAAGATAGGGTTTCACCATGTTGGCCAGGCTGGTCTTAGAGTCCTGACCTCAGGTGCCTGCCTCGGCCTCCCAGAGTGCTGGGATTATAGGCTAACCAACTGTGCCCAGCTAATTTTTATATTTTCGGTAGAGACGGAATTTCACCATGTTGGCCAAGCTGGCCTCGATCTCCTGGCCTTCAGTGATCCACCTGCCTCAGCCTCCCAAAGTTCTGGGATTATAGGTGTGAGCCGCAACGAAAAAATGTTCATGAGTACGGGGTGATTTTTGGTTAACTACCTTACGTAAAATTATTTTTTTGGCTGGAGCACTCTGGCTCACACCTGTAATTCCAGCACTTTGGGAGGCGGAGGTGGGCGGATGACCTGATGTCAAGAGTTCACGACCAGCCTGGCCAACATGGTGAAACCCTGTTCCCATCAAAAATACAAAAAAATTAGCCAAGCTGAAGTGGTGGTGGCGCCTGTAGTCCCAGCTACTCGGGAGGCTGAGGCAGAAGAATGGCGTGAACCCGGAAGGCAGAGCTTGCAGTGAGCTGAGATCACACCACTGCACTCCAGCCTGGGCGAGACAGCGAGACTTTGTCTCAGGAAAAAAATAAAAGAAAAAGTCTAGAACTTAAGTGATGAATATCAACTTAGAGAACAAAACCAAAGCCAAAGTTTTGAAGATAGGAAATAGTGTGATACTATCTTTTGTGGGAAGGAACTATTGGCTTCTCCAAAAATTAGAGAACTGGGGAGAGAGAAACCTCATCTCAGAATCTGTGATCAAGTTGGAACTGAGGCTGGAACAGCTCAAGGTCAAACATTCCTCCCTCCCTTCAAAGGAGACTGAGTTTTACCAGTGAGCCCAGCTGAATATTCACTCCGCCATCCACCCCCAGGAGATCCCTTTTAAACCAGGAGCACACAGTGAGGAGAAACATGAACATGCACTAACAAGCCCTGAAAGTTCAGAGGGTGACTCTTTGATTTCCTCACACAGCAGAAGAACTGTTTCTCTAGGTTCCAGGAAATGCCTGTGAGACAGCTGTGTCCCCCAGAGTCCCTTCATCACAGATGACACCCAGTGCTCAGGCCAACACCCCTTTGTGCAATAATCTCAGAGTGTTGACTAATCCAAACCAAAGGTCGTGATGTTCCACAGGCAGAAAAGAGCAGGTGGACTGCAAAGAGAATCTCTATGAACGCCGGCAACCCCAAAGCCATGGAGACAGTTCTTACCATGATGCCAAGAAACTCTGGAAACAACAAGCCAGACCTCACACATATTTCATTTTCGGATTTCATACCCTCCTTCAGCCCCCTCCTCACAAGCAGCAAGGATAACCTGGAGGCTCCTGGGAACCTTTTCCCATTGGGTTTTTCCTGGCACGTAGTTCCCTACCTGGATGAGTCTCCTCGTCACTTATATTCTCCCAGCGTCAAGCCTTTAGAAAGAAAAACACCAGGATAAGTCATTAGGAGAGAGTGACTCACCCGCTTCCTCCTACTTTAATGAAACTGAATGATGGGCTTTTCTCCCACCCCACGCTGCTTCATACATGATCCCCTCATCTTTCTTCTGGGTTGACAAACCTCCTACAGCCGGCCAGAGTTCTATACTGGAAAATTCACTTTCAGGAGAACCCCAAGCCTCTTTCCCAGCAGGAACCCGGAATCAGGTTTCCATACACCGAAGCTAGCAAGTTTTTCCCTCAGGAAGTGAGTTATTTCATGGTACATACCGTTTTCATTCCAAGCTGTTTCGAAATTATATAAAAGAAAACATCGTGAGAATCAGATTCTGCTGTGCGCTTCACACAGATCTGTTATTCTCTGGACAACGATAAAAAACCAGAAGGTGGTACAGTGACTGAACCATAGGTCAAAGTCCCCAAAGCCTAGCACAGAGGATACTTATAGAAAAACAATACCTTAATTCACAGAATTTACCTTTACTTTATATTCAAATGCACAATGCTGAATCCAAGGAGGAAAAGTGGTATTGTGGAAAATGCCTCAGCATTCCAGGCATACTGGATGCTGTCATTGAAAAAGCACCTAGCAGACCACAGTATCAGTTGGGAAGACACGCCTACTGAATTCCAGCCCCACAAAGAGAATAGTGTACAGTGTACAGAATGTGCATTGCCAGATTTTCATATCAAAATTAACTGAGAAGTCAAGCAATCAGGAAAGCAACATTGCTGTAAAAGACAAAAAAGGGGAGTCTTACTCTGACATCATTATTAGTATCTTCTTTCTTCTTCATCTTTATGCTGTGGTGAGCCTCTTGGGAAACAGGCCATCCTCAGGACAAACTGAAGGACACAGAGGAAAGATCAGTGCACTGGTGGTTGGTGACTGAGTCACTCAGGGAGCTTTGCTGGATGTGGTGTATGGAGGTGGTTGACAAGCATGAACTGATTTGATGTTGGGCTATTCCCCTGAGGAGAGGGATGGCAGAGGAAGGGAGCAGGAAAGACACGGTGACATGAGGGCGTCGGCCTCAGACTAGAGGCATCAGGCAGCAACACAAAACAGACAACCCCAAATGGATCTAAATGTATACTGGAGGGTCAGTGGAAGAGTGCCTTTCTCTCGCTCAAATGTTTTGAAACTCTTCAAAACAAACAGCATTTTCTTAACGTATTCAAGACCACTTCAGTACACTAGGAGCCAATTATGCTGGTGTAAAATACATTTAGCATCTGTTTTAAAGGATTTATTACTTGATTAAAAGCCAATGTTATGGTGAAATGGACTCAATTTTACCCAAATTACTCTATTCTATTAATCACACATTCTTTTTCATAGAGACTATTTAAAACTTCAATGTTAAAGTGCTGCAATTAAAAATAGTCATGATTTCCTCTTTGTAAGTCTTCTTCTGGAACCACTTCTACACACCCTTTTGGACCCTTCGTGATCGTGGCGCTCCAGCAGCTCCTGGGTGTGACTCTCCTGAGGAGATTCCTGTAAATCAGGCTTCATTCAAACAGGCCAATCTCACAGCCCGCTCTACCTTCCACACCAGTGAAGCTGAGAGACATGACTCTGAACACTTTCTGCCATGAGGATAAGCTTTCAGGTTCAAATACATATTATCTACTGAAATGAGGAAATGTATACCAGTAGAAATGAATGAATTCAGGAAAAAATGTTCATGAGTACGGGGTGATTTTTAAGAATTACCTTACGTAGTAATTTCATTTTTTGGTTGAGCACTCTGGCTCACACCTGTAATTCCAGCGAAAGATCACAAGCCATACCTAAATACCCAGGCCTCAGGTGAGCATCAGGCCCCAGCTAAATACCAGGCCCCAAGTGGACACTGAACTCAGATGCCAAGCTGACACCCAGGCCCTAGTTGCACACCGGGTCACAGGAGAACATCAAGCCCCAGGAGGATACCCAAGCCCCAACTCAGATTGCAGGTGAATACCAGGCTCGACATGGATATCAGAACCCAGGTAGGCATCAGGCCTAAGGAGTATACCTAGGCCCCAGGTAGACATAAGGTCCCAGGTGGGCATCAGGCCCACATAAATACTCACGACCCATGTGTACATGTGGCAACAGGTGACTAGCCAGTCCCAATGTGGAACACAGGACCCCAGATGAACATTAGGCCCAAGGTTGACAACCAGGCCCCAGGTTTACAGGAGGACTCAACGTGACACTTCACTCCAAATGAACATCAGACCCCAGGTGAAATTCAGACACAGGTGAATACCTAGGCTTCAAGTGAACATCTAGTATCAGACAAATACAAGATCCTAGGTGAACTTCGGGCCCTAGGGTGACACCCAGGCTCCAGGTGAACACCAGGCTCGAGGTGGAAACTAAGACACAAGCTGACACCTAGGAACCCAGTAAGCACCAGGGCACATGTAAATTACTAGGCCCCAGGTGAAAACCCACACCCCGGGTGGACACCAGGCCCCAGGTGAACATTGGGCCACAGATTGAAACCAAAGCCACAGAAGTATATCAGGCCACACATAAACACTCAGTCCCCAGGTGGGGATCAAGACCCCCTGGAGAACATCAGGCTCCTAGTAGACATTAGAGCCCAACACAACACCAGGACCAATGTGAACAATAGGCCCAAGGTAGCTATCAGGCCCCAAGTGGACACTGGACTCAAGTTGTATATCAGACACCATGTCCCAGATAGACACCAAGTCATAGGGGGACAGAGACCCCAGATGGACACCCAGTCTCAAGATGGAAATCAGGCCATTGGTAAACAGAAGGCCCCAGGTGGACACACAGGCCCCAGGTGCATATCCAGACCCCAGGTGGACACCAGACCCAAGGTAAATACCCATCACCCCCAGGTAAACACCAGACCCCAAGCAGATTACAGGTCCCAGAAGAAATCAGACCCAACCCTAGGTGAACTCTAGTCTGCAGGTGGACATCTGGCTGGGTATCTACCTGGAACCTGGTGTT